TGACGTCACCGCTCACGGAGCCGGGAGTGGGGAGGGGCTGGGGGGGGTCCGATCTTACGCGCGCTCCCTCTGAGCGGTCGCCGCTGCCAACGCCGCCGTGTCAGGCGCTTTCCTGGCTCTGGCCCCCGAGAGCTAGCGGGGCGACTAACGAAGCTGGCAGTCGCTGCCGCGTCCCTCGCTTCTTTTGCCCCCTACGCTGGACAGACCGGTTCCTGCTCCGAACCAAACTCAGTAACCACCTAAGTCAGTTGCCAACAACGCTTCCGGGTCTGCCGGAAGTGCCGGTGGCATTCGGGATAGGCGTGCGCTCGGGGAGGGGAGGTGGGACGTGAGCGAAAGGGATGTGGCATAATGAGAAGGGCGGGGCCTCTGGAGCGCCAAGGGGAGGGGCCTTGAGCTGCTGCAGTTGCTCCTTGGCCCTACTGGGAGCTGCTTCCTGAGGTCTGGGCTGGTCTGGGTATCCGATGCAGTGGAGGGACTGAGCCTTGGGGAAATGCATAAAGAGACTTGTATGCATGACTGCAGAACAGGGAATGGAGGCGACCCCCTGCCAAGCGTATGACCACCAGTTCTTCACCTCTTTTGGTTTATGAAACCCTTAAAATACTATATAAATGATATTATTTATTAAAATGTGTAGTGTTTGAAGGAGAACCCTGCCCCCCACTCCCCCTGGGGAAGGGGAATACTGAGGGGCCGTTCTCCATACCTCTTGCTACGTGACCCTGAGCAAATCACTTAAAATGGAGATAACAGCATCTACCTCACAAGGTTGTTGTGAGGATCAAATGAGAAATTTGTAATGCCCTTTGCAAACCTTAAAACACTATATAAATACTTATTATTATCATTTTCACCAATCCAGAAGGTCCGGAAAGCTGCAGCCATTATGTTCAGTTGGCTCTTGAGAGTTGTTTGCTCTAAATTTGCAAATTGGCTGTCTGCAGATCTCTAGTTTCATTCAACAAGTGTTTATTGATACAGAGGTCTACTGTTTCACTGTGTAGTGGAAGTGAATTCTGAATCTGTGAGTCTAAGGCCTAAATTCAAATCTCTCCCCTAATGTCTTTCTACCTGTGTAATCTTGGGCAAGTCACTTTATTTCTCTTGATCAAAAAAGTTTCCTCATTTGTCAAATGAGAGGATTAGATGATCATTCCAACTCAAAAGGCCTATTGTTGAGGCAACTAGGCAGCACAGTAGATAGAGCACCCTCCCAGGAGTCAGGAGGACCTGGGTTCAAATTCAGCCTCAAATATTTACTAGCTGTGTGACCCTGGGCACATCACTTAACCCCACTGTCTCCAAAAAACCAAAAGGCCTATTTGTTTGGGGTGTCTTTGTATAACTACAAAAAGAAAAAAACAGCAAATCTGGGGATTGTATCTGGACTTGAATATGCTTTCTCCCTCTAGATTATGATCTAAAACTTACATTCTACTTTCCCTCTATCCTGCCTGTCAATTTAATTCAAACATTGAATTACTATGTGCCTAGCCCCGGGCTAGAGGCTGTCAGAGATACAAAGTATAAGAGAAAATTTTTGCTTTAAAGAGATATATTCTTACTCTACCATGCTTCTTACTTACATGTGGGGCAGGGAATTGTTAAGTAACTAGGGCTCCCTAGAATTAATGCCCTTGAAAAAACCCAGCTCCTTGAAAGAAGGGATTGTCTTGCTTATATTCGTAACCCCAGCACTTAGCACAGTGCCTGGAATATTTTAAAGCACTTGATACATGCTTCATCTGTTTATTATCATTAGTGTTTATTGTAGAACAGTTGTGATACCTGGAAATAAGGGCAGAGTCCATAGATGCATTCCTTACTTTGCAGCGGAAGCAAGAGTTTGTTAATGAAGTTTAAAGCACATAATAGTCTTCTGTTTATTCATTAGTCTTTATTGTAGGTCAGTAGTGATACTTGGAAATAGGGGCAGTATCCATAGATTCACTCCTTACTTTGCAGTGGCTCTGGGTAAGAATGGAAACGAGGATAAAGAGTAAGAAACACTGAATCTTGGAGTGCTCTGGCAGGCAAATGGGGAAGAGAAGTCGCACCTGTTACAAGTGATCCTGATGATGGGAAGTGAGATGGGCTCTGAGGCAATATTCTCGAGAGCCAGTGAATTTGGTTATTACCCCAACTTTTTTCTCCTACTTGCCACAAACACCCCAAAATACGCACAGAGTCCCAGGTAGAGTGTTCCAGAATGCTGGGGGGGTTCTTGCTGAGCCCTCTTTTCGTGTTTCAGTTTTTCCTGGTAGAAGAAAGTGATTTGGAGTCAGAAGACAAGGGTTCGCACCGCATCTCTGCTATTTACCATCCAGGTGACTTAGAGAAAATTTGTTTCCCTCACGGCCTCAGTTTCATCATCTGAAAGAAAAAAAAAAAAAAAAAGAGGTTGGCCTCTAAGCTCTTTAAGGCGCGTGGAATGGAGGCGGGGCCCTGAATGGGGGGCGGGGCTCTCCGGTGACGTCACGCTGGTCCTGTAAGCGCGGAGGCGGCTCTGGTTCCTGCCGCCGCTGCTCTTCATCCCCCCAGAAACCTGCCGGCTCCCGGCTCCCGGCTTCCCGCTCCTCCCTCCCCGGCCCAGCCATGGGCCTCACGGTGTCCGCGCTCTTCTCGCGGATCTTCGGGAAGAAGCAGATGCGGATCCTCATGGGTGAGGTCCCGGGCAGCGTCACACCCCCGCATCCCTCCCTGCCCACGGTGTAACGCCCTCCACCGCCCCCGCAGCATCCCGCCCTGCCTCTGCCGCCCCCGCAGCATCTCTGCCCAGCCCTGCTCTGCCTTGCTGCACGCCTAGCCCCGGCCTCTCTTCCAAGAGCTGAGGGGATGGGGGTGGCGGTGGGGGCGAGGGGGTGGTCGGGAGAGAGAGAAGGAGATGAGGGAAACTGAGGCACGGGATGAAGGGTGAGGGAGGAGAGGGAAAAGGGATCCCCCGGCGTTCGGGCCCCGCTGCTTGGGAGCGGGGGGCGGGGTTGGGTACGGGAGGTATGGCCTGCCGCCCAGCCGTCCCTGCCTGCAGCCTCCTCCGCTTTGCAGCAGCAGCAACCGGAGCCTGCCGGCGCCCAGGCCTTGGAACCTGCTGGCCTGTGCGGGGTTAACCCACAAGCAGGCCGCCCGCCCCCAAGCGAGGTTCTTAGACGTGTCTGGAATGTCTCTTTGGAGAGGCGCCTTCCAGGAGAGACAACCCCGGTCCCTATGAGTGCCCCTACCTCATCCCCTGGTTCTTTCCTCCTTTAATCTGCAGGCCTGCTTTGGGTGGGGTTTTTTGTTTGGCCCTGGGTGTGCGTGTTTTTCTATAGAGGGGAAGAGAAATGGCTTGTGATGCCCAGGCTTCTTTCTTACTCCCCTAAACATAGCTCCAAGGAGTAGGAGATGCAAGTTGAAGCTTTCCCATTGCATTTTTCCCATTGAGCTCTGGTCAGTTCCTGAACCCTCTCCCTCCCCATCTCACAAGGGCTTCTCGGGTACCTCGTATCCATTACTCTGCCTCTCTGTTGCAGTCGGCTTGGATGCCGCAGGCAAGACCACAATCCTCTACAAACTGAAGCTGGGCGAGATTGTCACTACTATCCCCACCATAGGTGAGCTCCTGGGAAGGAGGGGAGGCTTGGTTTCAAGATCTGCTCCCCGGTAATCTGTGAGAGTCCCCTGTATTTCCTCTCTGGGGCCTGACCCTGACACTAGAAAACGGCTGCTCTGAGAAAGTAGGTCATGGTGTCTTTGACTGATGGTGCCAGGATGTGGAAGAAGTAGCCCTGGGCCCTTCGGTGTTAATTCTTTTAAGTCTGAATGATGTACTTCTGGGTATTCCCACAAGTTCTGTCCGTGCTGATCTCCTGTCACTTTTGTGCAGTTGAATGTACCTGCCCACATTACAGCGCCCCTCCTCCCCCCCAGGCTTCCCCCCCTTTTCCCTTTCCTCACAGGCTTCAACGTGGAGACAGTGGAATATAAGAACATTTGTTTCACCGTCTGGGATGTGGGAGGCCAGGACAAGATTCGGCCTCTCTGGAGACACTACTTCCAAAACACTCAGGTGAGCCAGAGAGTTGGGCTCTAGGGATCTCATACCACTGTCTGTCCAACCAGGCACAAATATTGCTAAATAGACACTCCCCTGCCTTAAAATTTCCTATGGTTTCCCATTGCCTACAAAATAAAACTTATTCCTCTGTCTGGTATCTATTAAGCACCTACTATGTGCCAGACATTGTATTAGGTTTTAGAAATAAAAATAAAATAACCCTTTGCCCTCAAAGAATTTTTATTCTACTTTCTAGCCATTTTTTCAGCTATTCTCTTTTTTATTCTAGCTACCTAGACCTATTCTGTGTTTCTTGAATAAGCTTTTCTGCCTCCATGCTTCTACCCACCCTTCCCTCTACCTAGAATATTCCTTTCACCCTTCTCCCTCCACCTGTTGAAATTCTGTTTATCCTCCAAGGTCCCACCCAAATACCACTTCTTTCTCTATGAAACTTTCTCTGGTCTCTTCAGTCAGAAGCAATTTTTCCTTTCATGTTCCTGTAGCTTTTGCTTCTATCACTTCTAAATGGCCCTCATGAAATTTTTCTTCACACAATATTGGTATACATGTCCTTTTACATTAATAAGTGTTTTGAGAGTAGAGAATATATACTTTTTCCCTCACAGTGCCTTGCATATCATAGATGCTCAAAAGATGTTTTGGGTTTGGGAGTTAGGTTTTTTTGGTTTTGTTTTCTTTTTTGAATGAAAAACGGTTGAGTCCATTGATGGATGCAAGTGGAGTTATAGAAAAGGGAAGGAAAGGGATGGAAAAGATAGAACTATGGTTCATTTTCTTTGGCTGGGCTAACTGCTCTTTCTTCCCACCCTAGGGTCTTATCTTTGTAGTGGATAGCAATGACCGAGAACGGGTCCAAGAATCTGCTGATGAGCTTCAGAAGATGGTGAGTACCAGATGGGCTGTGGAAAACATTGGACAATGAGCCCTCTCTCATGAGTCAGAAATAGCAGAGACAGTGAAAACACAGACTAGGTTGCAGCCTAGGCCAGTAGATCTGAGTCCTTTTTTGGATGTAAAATCTCATGTGTTGATTCACTCTGGGTAAAGAAAAAGAGAGAAGCTCTCTCCCTTATGTTAGGGATGAAGCAGGTAAAATAGGCTTTCTTTTTATCCTTCAGTCGTGTTTATGTGGGTTGTTGGCCAAAGTGGGGAGAGGAGATAGGTTGTACAGAGATAGGTACATCGTGTCTTTTAATGTGTTGAAGTAGATTTCTATCCTATTTACCAAGAACAGGTATGGGTCGTATATAAGGCCAAGATGATTTCATTCATATTAATAATTCTATTTTATTTGCATTTGTCATACCTGTAATATTAGCTAATTAGACTAGTATTTCCATAAGCAATTTGGCTACAGAACAGTGTGAGGCTTGGAATATATAAATTATATAAAGAACTTCCAAATCCTGGTCTAGGGGATATAGAATACTCACAGAAAAAAAAAAGTTGAAAAATGTTAGTTCAAAATCAAAGATATTGAGCCTATTTTCATGCTGGAAAAAATTGCACATAACAAGTATTTTTGATACATTAATAACTAATATTGTAATGGGGGAAATGTCACTTTGAGATCCTTCTCCCAGAAACTACTCACATTATGTGGATCATCAGAGTTCTACAGAGTCCAGGTTGAGGAATGTTGGTATGAAAATAACTGACTTTCATATAGCACCTTACAATTCATAAAACATCTTTCATATATTATTATATATGAACATATTATTATAATATTCATATATTATCTTAAGTTCATTACAACTCTATGAGGTAGATAGAACAATAGTGTCCTGCTTTACAAATGAGGATTGTAAATACTATGTTCTACTGATTGTAGAGTACCCCTTCCTAGAGGCAGGTAGGTGGCAAAAGGGGATAGAG